AGAGAGAGGAGAGAGACAGAGAGAGAGGAGAGAGACAGAGAGAGAGAGAGAGAGACAGAGAGAGAGAGAGAGAGACAGAGAGTCTGTACATATACATAAAACACTGTCTGAGTACATTTCAAATTGGAAATAATGCTTTGGTTGCTGCTGTTATCACAAGTGTTTGACATTTTCCAGGACAGAGAAAGGACTAGATTGACATTATTTTCCTCTATTTATTTTTGTTTCATTGATTTATATGAAAATTTCTCATTCCCTGCTCATAGTGCTCATGTAGAATGTTTTTATGTTTATTTGTCTAAAATTAAACAGCACATTTTATTGAAATGACAACTGAGTGATAAGGGTTAAACGCCTTCCAGGAAAAGCTGTACAATGAAAACATATGCTGAAATTTCCTATTGAGTTAGTCACTATTTCTTACACTAAAATGTTCATAGGAGTGAAAGATGGATGAGATGGTGACAAGAGCAAATAGTTTCTGAAGTATTACGCTTTTTTGCCTTGTTTAGTAATATGTTTGACAAACAGTGACATCTGTCTACAATCTGTCAATATGATGGATAGAGAGCATAAATCATATTATCCTATGTCAACTCTCCTCTGAGAAAAATATTTTAACATATACTCAGTATTGTGTCACCAACACTACCCATAGGACTACAAGGAGAATGTATGACATTCAGCATGATCTTATAGGCATAAATTTTTAAATCTCATTTAAACTTGACTGAAACTAAAACTTTCAGAGTAAAAAAAGTAAAAGCTATAAATTACAACACACACAGTTTGAGAGCTGTTAATCGTGAATTAAATCTGTTAAGCATATATGTTATATCAAGTTATATTTCTCAGAATATCCTGTTCCAGTGATAATAGAACAATTAGTGCCCAAATTTGCATTTTGTCTATTATTTATAAATGTTTATTAAATCATAAATTTCTTCTATTTCTGCCATTGTATGCTTTCTATGGTTGTAGAAAATTTTCTAAAACATTAAAAACTTTCTGATCACTACAAAGTACCCCTTGAGATGACTGGATATCTTTCTTAAATTATGTAAGAAAATTACAATGCCCGTATATACATTAAAATGTGTAATTACTGTATTTGGTTACATGGTTTTTCCCTCTTCAACAGGGTGGTGTCTTTTGCATAGGCAAAATGATACATTTCCATTTGTTTAGTGTTTCATAAGTTTTAGTATTTGTGATTGAGTCTTATTTTAATAACTACCAAGAATTTTGATTACTGTACCTGAGATTCCTTTCCTCAACAGCCCTTTTGCATATATACTTTAAAGTGCTTGCATGGTTTTTCTGTTCCACACACCCAGATATTAATGTGATGCCCTCAGAAGCTATACGTGAGAACCAGAGAAACACCTGCATTAAAAATAAATAATTAGAAAGTTTGGAAAATATCAATAAATGGTTAATCACTGATTTGATTTCAAAAAGTGGTAAAATAAAATACATATTATTTTGTTTATTTAGTAAGCCCTCTCAGGAGAGCACAGTTTTGTTGTTGTTATGTAAAATATTCCAGAGATACTCTGAATAGAAAAATAGATAAATATATTGCCATGTAACAAAGAAAAGAGAAGAAAGAGATGTTGACAACTGGTAGCACTGCGTATTTCCCTTCTCTTTGTGTTATTTTAAAATCATTGTAATATTTCCATTTAATGCTAATCTGTTTCTCCTTCAATGGCATTTGTAAAATTTATGTAATCAAAAGCAAATCTGATTTGTATGGATGCCAGAATTATGCTTTCTTCCCCCCACCAAAAAAAAAAATAAAATAAAAACAAACAAAGACATATGATAGTCAAGATCACAGAAATCAAGCAATAGAAAAATATACGGAAAGCTGCTAGACAAAAACAAAACAAACACACAAAATAAAAAGCAGATCATATTTAAAGGAAAACCCATCAGAAATATGACAGACTTTTCTTCACAAACCATGAAGGCAAGAAAAGCATGGAAGAGTACTTGAAGTCCCCTATGAAAACAAATTCCAACCAAGACTAATATACCCTGCAAAACTTTCTTTCAACTTTGATGGAAAAGTGAAATACTTCCATGACAAATAACTACTTTCTTTGTGGACAAAGCCAACCCTACACAGACTACTGGAAGATGTTCTACAGAGGACCAAAATGATCAGAACTTCATGAATGAGAATGGAAGGAACCCACTATGTAGGGCAAACAATTAAACACAGGAGAAAAAGGAGAAAACAACTGCAGGTAAATAACATGTCAATCATGAGTCAATACAACTCAATTATAACCACCAATGTAAATGGACTCAATTCACCATTTAAAAGTAATACACTGGCACAGTATCTAGGAAACAAAATCTAACAATATGCTGTATTCAAGAAACACACTTAATTCATAAAGAAATTCATAGGCTGAAAGTCAAAGAATGGAAAACAATACTACATGCCTCAGCACCTCAGAAAAAAGCAGGGGTAGCAATCCTGTTCTCAGACAGTCTCAACTTCAAACCAAGACTGATCGAATGAAATAAGGAAGGTCATTATATGCTGGTTAGGGGAAAATTCAAGAGGAAGAGGTAGCAATCATAAATATGTATTTACCAACATGGGAGCACTGAATTATGTAAGACGAATCTTAATGGACGTGAAAAATCTAAAACTCAATACCACAATCTTAACTAGAGACCTTGAAACCCCCTTATCCCTAAAAGACAGGTCAACCAGACGAAAAACTAAGAATGAAGTAGTATAACTGAACCAGAGCTTAGAACAAATGGACTTAGTGGAAATATACAGAGTGATCCAAAAAACCACAGCTGAACACACATTTTTTTCAGCTGTACATGGGTTATTGGCTAAAATAGAACACATACTACTCCATAGGTCATGCTTAAGTGTATTCAAGAAAACAGAAATTATCCCATACATATTATCTGAACACAGTGCAATGAAACTAGAAATAAGTGACAAAAATCCCAGAAAAACTCCATAAATGCATGGAAATTGAACAACACCCTACTCAGCAACAAATGGGTCACAGATGAAACTGACCAATATCAGCAATTAAATGAAAATTGAATCACAATTTATCAGAATTCATGGGACGTGATCAAAGCAGTTCTTAGGTGGAAACATAGCTATGAACTCACACATTAAGAAACAGAATGGAAACAAACACCCTAATACTCCACCTCTGACATCTAGAAAAGGAAAAACAAACCAAAGCCAAAGCCCTAAGAGGGAAAGAAATCATAAATATCCGAGCAGAAATTGCTTCAATTGAGATGAAGAAAACAATAAGAGAACGAATCAAAAAGCTGGTCTTTGAAAGATTAAATAAAATTGATAAAGCCCTAGCTAACCTCATCAG